ATATGCAATGTAGTGTTAAAATGTAGCCTTCCTTTACCCATCCTCAACTGTTCAGTAAAATTCAGTCACATGAAAGCCTTATGTTGGTGCCTGAATGGTTTCTAATGTTTAGCAAAGTTAGGACTGGTAATATTGACTTATGTAGCGGAGAGAAGAGCTTGGTTCATTGCTTTGTGAACAAAAGATGACATCTTGGGAAGGATGAGACTAACAGGATGCCACCACAATAGTCTAGAAAAGAGATAATGGTGGCTACTTTCAAAGTTCCCTGGACACCCCCACTGGCCATAATCAACATAGAGCCATTGGAGTGTCTCTAGAAACCTTACAAGTACTATGCAGATATACTACATGCAGGAAGTGGGTGGAAAAATTGAGAGGGAGGGGAGAAAGGCAAAAAATGACCACAATATCTTGGCGAGACTTCCTTGCTGATTCTGAGAAATCTCTCAGTACATACAGAGCACCATCTTTCGTAATAGGAATTTTCCTCATTCATGTGGTCAAGATATTTATTTTAATAATGAATGCTACTTTGATTTGCAAATAATTCTTGCATTAGCAGCTATGCTGAAGTAATCTACTTGTATAGAAAGAGTAGTTCCATTACTTTTCTGGGTTTTTTTTTTTCCAGATTTTGTGAGTATTTATGTGTGTATGACGTATATACACTGTTAGGTATTATTATGACTCCGTGTATCTCTAGCCCTATTCCCTCAGTAGAACTCCAGACTAGAATAATAGTGTATTCAGCTCCTTATGTAACATCTCTATATGTGTGTAGGAGGCATCTCAATCTTATACGGCCAAAAGGACATAAATTCAAGAATAAATAAATAAAACTTCCTTATCCCTCATATTTGATCTTCTCCTAATTACCCCCACTCAGTAAATGGCACCATCATTCACCCAGTTGCTCAAATAAAAATCTGAGCATTTTTTTTATTCTTTTTTGTTATCCTTCTCTTCCCTTCATTAGTCTATCAAATATTAAAATTCCACATTAAAAAAAGGTATTCCTAAAAAGGTCAATTCCCAGTGGGATACTGATAGACCCCCTCTCTATCCTTGCTACCTATATTCTCTACCCAGAAGCTGAAGTGGTCCTTTTAAGAAAAATCAGATCATGCCATTGTCTTGCTTAAAAGATCCCAATAATTTCCAAATCCACTTTGAAGAACAACCAAGTTTCTCTCTTTGTTTTACAAAGACCTCTATGATATAGTTCCTCCCTATTCCTTTGGTCCGCTCCTTCAGACTCGCCACACTGGCCACCTCCTATCCATGATACCCCAGATCTGTGCCGTCCAGTATGGTAGCCTCTAGTTACATGTGGCTATTTCAACTTCAATTTAAATCCATTAAACCTGAATAAAATTTAAAGCTCAGTTCCACATTTACTCCAGTTACATTCCAAGTGTCTAACAGACACATGTGGCTAATGGCTACCATATTGGACAGCTCAAAGATTTCTGTGATTGCAGACAGTTCTGTTGGACAGTGCAAATCCAAACAAACTAGTGTTCCCCCCATTTCCTGAATATGCTAGGTTTGTTCCCACTACAAATTCTTTGTCCTTGCCCTTCTTTCTCCACGGGTTGCTCCACCCCAATCTATGTATATAGTTCCACTTCACTTATATCTCATTGTAAATGTCATTGCTGTGGACTAAATGTTTGTATCCTCCCAACATTCATTTGTTGAATCCCTAATCCCTAGTGTGATGACATTTGAAGGTGGGTCCTTTGCAGGGTAACTAGGTCCGGAGAATAAAGCTTCCTCATAAAAGGACTAGTGTTCATACAAAACGAGATACCAAAGAAATGATCTCTTCCTCTGCCGTGTGTAGTTACAAAAAGAAGGCACCAACTGCGAACGAGGCAGAGGATTCTCACCACACACCTAACCTGCTGGTACCTTGATCTTGGTCACCCCAGCATCCAGAATTGTGAGAAATAAGAGTGTGATGTTTAAGCCACACAGTCTGTGGTAGTTTGTTATAGACCCTAAGCTGACTAAGGAAGTCATCTTCCCAGCCTACTCAGTCTATAGTCACCACCCAGGTACTCCCTTTATATGACCCAATTTAACTTTCTGCATAGCATTCATGGCTATGTCATATTTCACTCGATCATTTTTTGTTTCTTTGTTTGTTGCCTCTCTGACCAGCATGTTAAGTTTCCCGGCACTGAAACCACCTGTCTGTGTTCACTGCTGTATCACTTATACCTAGACTAGGGTCTGGCATGTAAGAGGCATTCAGTAAATACTTGTGGAAAGAAGGGAGGCAGAGGAGCAAATGTGTTCCTATTCACGGTGCATATTGATATTTAGAAGAAAACTTCTAACAGAAATAAAATGAAAGCACCCAATGTATACAATAATGAATTCAGTACATTCATTTTAAACTAAATTTAAAGTCCATTGCCCATTTTCTAGCTCTGCTTCTATCCTGGACATATCACTTTTCGTTTAAAAGCCTCCATCTTAGATATAGAAGAAGGAATTCAGACCAGAGTTAAAAGATTTCTTATACTTCTAAATTCCATGTTCTTATGAAGATACTGACCTCAGGAGAAATATGCGATCCCTTTCGATATACCTAGAAAATACATGTTCATGTACCCTTTCTTATTCTGTGAATATTTTCTGTGAATGTTTTAACTGTATTTTAAGTTATCATCATATTACACGGTCTTAAGCTGCCTAAATGTTCATAAAGGAAAATTTTTTAAAAATTTAATCACATAATATTAGAGAAAGTTTTGCTGTAAAGAAACAGAGCTAGTCATTAAATTAAAATTTAGGAACACATCTGCACCACGATATCAAATTAACCACAACTGACTTGATTGTTAAGCAATTGTTCAGATCAAATTAAACCAATCAAGATCTAACATCACTGTGCTGTAGGCATGTCAAGTCATAGGTAAGGCCAAAGAGCCAGGTAAAAATGACCGTATCCTGATGAAAACTCCCATTAGAAGTTTCTGAAGATGGAAGCCACACCTTTGTTTGATGGTTCAAAACAGAAGAGGTTTGAGGAAACACAGGTTTGAAGAGCATAGTTGGGCCTTAATGTATATGGTCTTTTTTGAAGATACTTTACTTGAGGGAAATATATTCTCCAAGGAAACTACTTAGAAAAGCACCCATGTCACAAAACACAGAAAGGGTCCACTCTGGTTAGACTCCATACAGTTCATTCATATGAAGATTTTCCTAAGCAGTTGTAAGCCAGGGTTTTATCATATTCATTTTTGTTTCATCCCCAGGACTTAAAATATTGCAGTAAATATTAGATGAATTACAAATATTTAAGGAATCGATATTTTAAAAGGAAATGAAGTAAAATAGCATACAATTGCCTTTTTAGGTAAAGTTACATAACTTCAACAAAACTTCTGGCCATTCATAAAGCTTCTCTTAATATTTCATATCCCTCTTAGGCAATTGTGAAAGAGGCTCAGACTATTTTCAGAAAGAAATGTGGGTGGTATCCTTCAGTGCAGCGTCTTCAAATAAAACATAGTGATGAGATAAGAATTACCTTCATATCCAAACTGCTGAATAAGAACAAGGTCCAAAAACAGGGAAAGGCCCACACTGCCAAAGATAGCTAGTTACTGGAACATTGTAATACTTGAGATTTACTGCTTATTAAAATGCAAAAGGCCATTACTTCCCCAAGAACAAATTTTGTGAACAGAGATGAACCTAGGAAGCTTTTAGCCCATTTCCTGAATCATAAACAAAGAACTCCATACATAGCAACTCTATGAGATGTAAAGGGGAGTATATTATATGATCCTTATTGGATTACTCAAAACCTCAGCGAAGCTCCCTTCAGAAGCGATATAAATCAAAGCTAACTGCTTCCATAGAAAAGCAATCAAGTTTTTAAGAGAATATCTTTGTTCCTGAGGTTGCACAGTAAGATTTAGATGCTTCTATTAGGACCTTTGCTATGGAGCATACTTAAGTAATTATAAAAATTCAGCCTGGAAAAACACCTGGACATAATTCCAAGGGAATTAAATCTTTTGGTCTCAAGTTTTGGATACTTTATAGAAGTATTTCCCCCATCTATCTTCTGAAAACGCACACACACACACACACACACACACACACCCCTTGAATATAGCAAATTAGTATTTTAAACACTAGAATTTTCCACACTTTAGTGTTATTATCTGGTTTTAAACAAGTGCATTTTATGTGCTTCTAGAAATAAACCCCTAACAGAGATTATATTTTGAAAAAAATATTAAGCCGAAAGAAAATGTAACTTTCAGAATATTAGGAAAGATGCTTAAAAATGTGCAATCATTCCCTCTCTAGAATCTCTTATATTAATCAAGATAGGGTTCCACAGACTTACTGAGAGAGGTCTTTAAAATGAGACAAAACAATAGTGACATCCTGGCTAAAAATAATTTGCTGCAAGATGTAAAAGTCCTTAGGGGGTCCATGAGAAGGCTTTCATTTTCCTTTCTATCATTGCCTTGAGGTCAAATATTTAACAGTGCTCTAGATGTAAAAGCACATGCAAATCTTGCATTCTTTTGAAGCTGACTTTTGCCACTTAGGAATAGCAACAATCATTTTCTAGAACTGCAAGTTAAAAGAACTGATCTTTATTTGTTGTTTGCTTTGAGAAACTAAGCAAATCAAAATACCTTCCTAATTTTGTTCTAATATATATCTGCAAAATCAGACAGATAATTCCCCCTTTAGGAAGTCTCCAAGAATGAGTTATCATTCAGTTGAAAAGTATTTCTAGACTAGCACTTTTGTGCCTAGATTACGGAAAATGCAAAATAACCACATGGCATGGTTTATGGCATCAAGGAGCCCACAGTTCAGTGGATGAAGATAAAATATTAAAATATGAGAATAGTACAAGATAACAAATATGTGTTAAATTCTATGGCAAGATTATGGGTGTTCTAAGAATTCAGAGACATGGATAATCAATAGAACTTACCAGGGTTGGAGAATTCTGTGAAGAAAATGTATCTGAGGTCGGGCAGAGGAATTTGGACTTGATAAATTGCTCAGGCTAATTGTAGGTTTTTAACAGGAGAGTGACAGATAAAACCAACCCTGGAGGAAAATGTACATGTTATTAGTCTGTAAGAGCTCTTAGATGGTAGGGGAGGGTATGCCAACTAGAAACCCAACCCAATACCTCAGAAACAATAGGATAAAGGTCTGTGGAGGGGGTCTGTGGAAAGAGGAAAGTGACACTTGGAAGAAAAAAATCGATAGGTCTTTGTTAACTAAGTGGAAATAGTAGAGAGGGATTATTACTTAGAATATATACTACAAGAGTTAACAATCAGGCACTCGTAAAACATAATAACCACTGTCTTAGTTTGTGTTCTTCTGAAAGCACAGCCTGAGACAAGGGCAGGGATGCAAGTCATTTATTTGGGAGAAATTCCCAGGCAAGAAAAGTGAGGAAATGGGGAGAGAGGCAGGGAAAGGAGAAAATCCAGTTATGGGTACCTGTAGTGGGCTGATTAACAATGTGGACAAATATAGGGCTCAGTCCCATTGGGCACCTTCAAAGACACCATGACTAGCATGATTCACAGTTGTTCCACTCGAAGCTAGGAAGGCTGATAACTTTACCTACTCACTTCTACACCACTGGTTGAGGGTTGTTTCCAGTGGCATCATCTTTTCTGTACTTCTGAGTTGGACCTGCATATGGGTTGATCAGCCTCTTCTGCCTTGGAGAAAGCCTTGAGCAGCAAAGCAGAGAGAATCAGAGTGCAGGCCTAATGTGCAGCACTAGCAGAGGCACTTTATAACCAGGGCTGCACTGAAATCATGTGGGAACACAGAAGGCACACAAACATGTCAAAAAGCTGCAGAGATATGGAGTTTAGTTATTAGTAACTGAAGTTCAAGACTCAGAAGTCTTTGGGTAGGAATTCAGTGTTCTCCTCTGAGATTTTGGAAAAGTTACTTCACCTAAACTTCCCCAGTTATGAAAACTCAATGAGTTAATGCATGCAAAATAATTAACCCAGTGGGAAAAAAAGATCCCCCAAAATATTAGGTCTTAGAAATATTTTTTTTAAATGGAATCCCTAGGAAATCTGCAAAACAAAGAGGGAGGGCAAATCAGTAGCAATTCTCAATATAGAACACAGCAAAATTGAAATCAGCATTTGGTATGCATTTTTACTACAATGACAGGATTGCTGGTGGCCCTAATTAAGGTACTTAATAAAGTTCTGAAATAATACTAGCAAAGAATGTGCCTAATAGATGAATACCACCTCATCCAATTAAAATCTTCACTTTCATCAAACTATAGTAAAAAATCATTCCATAGCCACTGCTCCTGGTCAGTGATTTCTGGCAAATGCTCTGGTTTCTCTCCAACACTTTGCAGGCAGTGCAACTATGTTCCTTCCAAGAGGGTGAACAACTGTCAGCACCAACCAGGATGGTGGTTATTCTGCAAATACATGCAGTCCTCCTGACATACATTCTCTGACTTTCAGACTTGACTGAGGTATGCTAGCCAATCCAGGTATGACAAATGCATGTCATTAGTTCTATCATGCAAACCGACCTGTAGCAGATAGTGCTAAGGGAACCAATTTTCAGATAACTAAAAAGCAATCTGTTTGCATGATCATGGTCAATGTCCACCTCTTCCTTTATTCATTATAAGTCTCAAAGTGGGGGGGGGTTCTATAGAGGTACTATAATAATAGTTCAACTGCAGGAATCCCAGAGAATTATTTATAGACACTTAAACATTTAGGTCCAGAACATAGACCCATAAAAGTTTAGGTCTGAAATTGACCCAAGACATCCAGACTTTTCATTATAAAATGAGGAAACAGATTCAAACATGTTAAATTATTTTCCCAGAGTCACACAATAATCCAGAACCAAAGAGACCATCCTGACCCCATTCTCTTTTCTTCTGCCCTTTAAAGCCTCATCTCCCAAGTTAAGCCATAAATTTCTGCTGGGCATTGAATGTCTATGAAAAGCTACATTAAACAAGACAAACAAAATGGCAGTAACAACAGTAATATGCCAACTACTATTTCACAATTACGTTCTAAATACTAGTGGAAAAGACAGATATTTCATATATTCATTCCACAAGTACTTACTGCATGCGTATCGTATCAGATACTCTGAGAAATACCAGTGAATAAGAAAGTTATGGTCTCTAAAATCTATTTTAATGATTATAATTATATAACTGTGTACTATGACATGTCCATGTTCTTATGAATAAGAACACAAATGAACAAAGCTCATCAGATTTGAAATTATATGCACCAGTGTGGCTGCTATATAGGCTTTTCCAGGCCAAATTGCGTGGCCATACAATAGAGGGAATTTGATAAAATGATTTTGACAATTTGGTCAAAACAAAGTATGGGCTATCTTTTTTTTTAAAGATTTTATTTATTTATTTGAGAGAGAGAGAGAGAGAGAGAGAGAGAGAATGCGAACATGAGCAGGGGGAGGGGCAGAGGGACAAGTAGACTCCCCGCTGAGTGGGGAGCCCAACGAAGGGCTTGATCCCAGCACCCTGAGATCATGACCTGAGCCAAAGGCAAATGCTCAACCAACTGAGCTACCCAGGTGCCTCCTTTTTTTTTTTTTTTAAGATTTTATTTATTTATTTGAGAGAGAGAGAGAGAGAAAGGTATGGGCTCTCTTAAATTTGTTTTATATTGGTTGTATAAAGCTGCACTATGTCTAACAACATTTGAATTTATGGCCCTTTAGAAATTATATTTTTAAGATTATTTCTGAACTTAAAACCCTGAACAAATAGGAAAATTTTTTTCTTTGATAAAATTAAAATCTAAAATGAAATGTACCTAGCAGTGGTTGTAAATATATGTAGTATTAGAAGGTTTTTAAATTCTAAATCAATTACCAGTTTTTAAGTGAGCTCTTTTTCATTAACTGGTCATTTTTTCAGTTATATGTGGAAGTTGTAGAAAGTTATTAGAATTTTCTTTCCTTATAGGCAAGAAAAATTTAATAAGAGCATTTGTTAAACATTCCAGGAAAAAAAACTAAGCAGAATAATTTTGACTTTTTCTAAGTTCTTTTAAGGTAGAAACAGTTGAGGAATCATTCGTAATAGTAAAATGAATAGCATTATGCTTCTTTTTTTTAATTCATGATCATTTGATGTAATGATTTTTCTAAAATATAACTGATTCATCATAAATCCTAGAAAATAATTGTTGAACCTTAGTAAATGTAAACATGCATTCCATGTTATTTATTGAATTTGATCAATAATCCCAACAATATGACTTTTGAAAACTTTTTATATATTTTTAATCTATTTCAAGGTGCAATGTAACATACTTCTTTTGATCTCATAACACAACCACTGGGATATTGAACAAGTCTTGCTGACTTGGGAGTTAAAGCTTACTCTAGAGAAAGGAAGGGGTAATTTGCTTATAAACAGCCCTGAATATTCCCTAAAGTTTTCCACTGGGCCTAAGCCAAATTATTCCATATAGCTTATCATGTAAATGCTTCCTTTGATTTTGAATACAGTATCAATAAGGTGACCAAATATTAAAGATGAAATAATTTGTGATACTTACCTACTTCTAACCAATCAGGGATTTTCCTGGTAAAAGTGAACTAAAAAGAGTCAATTACTATCAACCCAGAAGCTTCTTTTAGAGGAAGAGGCAAGGAAATGTTTTTCTATAACAAAACAAAAAAAAAAAAATTAAAGATTGAAAGGAATAGAAAGACTTGGTGCATGAAATTGAAGAAATTAGTTTATTTAATATGAAAATATTTATTAACCTATATAAGTCATGATAAAGAAACCAAGAACAAGTATGATTTGTTAGGTATCTTTTCCATTGAAATTCTACATTTGAGGGGTACCTGGGTGGCTTAGTTGGTTAAGCTTCTATCTTTGGCTCAGGTCATGGCTGAGTTCCCTAACCATTCATTTATCTCAGGGCTCTCAAGTAAACAGTCCCCATAGAATACAGGGCAAAAATTTTGGCTCCAGGTGAATGGTCAGTCATTTATAAGCACAGTCATCTTTTGGTCACCAGTAAATTGTTACATAGAAAAAAATAATGGAAAATTCTTAGTTCATTCACTCCTTAATACAATCAACACATATATTTGGAAAATACTGTGTCAAGCTTTGTGCTATATTCTCTGGGTGCTCAAGAGAAAGATCAGTTATAATTATTAGCATTGACTATATTGCTTTAATACCATATATTCATGAAATATTAATAAAAACAATAACTAACATCACATGATCTTAAAAAGCTAGATAAAATTAGGTAATATATGGTAATGGGTGACAGGTAGATTATAATTTTTATGAGTTCATAGGAGGCAGAGACCAATTGAATAAGTATACAATACTATTTAAGTATACAAAATCACCAGAAGGTATTTTATAGAAAAGTCCAACAGGATTCAAGAATTTATGTAATGGAAAAGGAGAAATTAAATTGAGAAAATAATTTGGGATTTAACTCAGGACATGAAACTTGTACTTTATTTTAGAATTGGACGTTATGATAATCCAGTCATGAGGAGCAAAGTAGAGAATAAAAAGATGCATTATTAGAAATAAGCCAGGAAAGTGATGAGAATAAAGAGAAAAGGGAGGCATTAATGAGCAATCTAAGATTCTAAAACTTAACAACTTAAGAAATTGTGATACCACAGATAGAAATAGTGGAGAGAATGTTGGCAGGAGGAGCTTAAGTTTTAGAGAGATTGGGATATAGATAATGACAGAACACCTAGGTCTAAAATCTAATAAATATGTAGTGAAATGCAGTAGAAATTCAGAAAATAAAGATAAAAGGCATTATAAGTGACAATAAATGCTATAAAAATAATCTTTCCAGGGGAGGGAAGAAAAATTGAAACTTGAGCAATACAACTAGATAAGAGAAAGAAGAGCAGTGACAACACGGACAGCAGAGATAGACTGTTCTTAGAAACTGGCAGTAACAGAAAGAAAGGAACAGTTTCATACTTCAAGCATATATTTATGTTGGGAATTAAGCAATAGGCAATGATAAAACTGGAACTCTGTGGAATGGAAACAAAAGAGAACTACTAAAATTTGGGACTCAACCACAGCAACACAAGAGAAGTGTTTAAGGCTCTGCTATGTCCTGCCAAACTATGATACTTGAAGCTTGACTTGGGTAAATGAAATACTGTAGGGTTTTTTTTTAACCAGTAGAAAGGGCATGGTGGGAGGTGTAACTCAATGACTCACAGTCATATACAACATCAAATAGGTGGTATTTCCATGTTTCCAAGTTAACAGTGATCAGTATAGTTGTGAGTACTGGCCACATGTTTCTGCTTTACTCTAGGGGAAAGAAATCTGGGACCCAGTAAAACAATTTGAAGTTCAATCAGGACTTTGGCTTCAGCTGAGTTTTGATTTGAAAAACTACAGAGTATAGCAGAGCATGATAATAGCAAAATCCTAAAATTTTGTGCTCCTATTAACATAGATTCAAAATATATGAAGCAAAAACTGTCAACAAATACAAGGATAGAAACATCCAATATTATATTGGGCATGTGAAACAATTTCAAGCAGTCCAACATACATGTAATCAAAATCCCAGAAGGAGAGGAGAAAGAGATTGGTGCAGAAACACATATGAAGAAATAATGTCTGAAATTGTCCAAATATTAGAAAAACTTGAACCCAAAATCCAAGAAATTCAATAAACCATGTGAATGATAAACATCAAGATAACCACACCTAGACAAAAAATAGTGAATTTTATGGAAACCACAGATTTAGATTAAAACAGCATTTCATAATGCTAAACAGATCTATTCAACACATAGATTGAGAAATAGAATGCATTGTAAACAGGGCAATAAGACGAATAAAAGTTGACTTCTCATCAGAAATAATGCAAACCAAAGACAGTGGAAGAAATCTTAAAATTACCGAAGTTTTTAAAAAAAAAAATTCTGTCAATCTAGAATAGGTTACCTAGTGAAAATATTTTCCAAAAATAAAATCAAAATGAAAGACCTCAATGTGAGACAGGAATCCATCAAATCCACCATCCTAGAGGAGAACATAGGCAGTAACCTCTTCGACATCAGCCACACTAACAAAAGGCAAGGGAAACAAAAGCAAAAATGAACTTTTGGGACTTCAAGATAAAAGCTTCTGCACAGCAAAGGAAAAAGTCAACAAAACTAAGAGGCAACCCACGGAATGGGAGAAGATATTTGCAAATGACATTACAGATAAATGGCTGGTATCCAAGATCTATAAAGAACTTCTCAAACTCAACACCCAAAAAACAAATAATCCAGTCAAGAAATGGGGCAGAAGACATGAACAAACACTTCTCCAAAGAAGACATACAAATGGCTAACAGACACAGGAAAAAATGTTTAACATCACTAGCCATCAGGGAAATACAAATCAAAACCACAATGAGAGGGGCACCTGGGTGGCTCAGTCGGTTAAGCATCTGCCTTCAGCTCAGGTCATGATCCCAGGGTCCTGGGATCGAGGCTCCTTGCTCCACAGGAAGCCTGCTTCTCCCTCTCCCATTCCTCCTGCTTGTGTTCCCTCTCTCGCTTTGTCTCTCTCTGTTAAATAAATAAATAAAATCTTTAAAAAAAACACACACACACACAATGAGAAACCACCTTACACCAGTTAGGATGGCAAAAATTAACAAAACAGGAAACAACATATGTTGGCGAGGATGTGGAGAAAGGGAAACTCCTTTACACTGTTGGTGGGAATGCAAGCTGGTGTAGCCACTCTGGAAAACAGTATAGAGGTTCCTCAAGATGTTAAAAATAGAGCTACCCTATGACCCAGCAATTGCACTACTAGGTATTTACCCCAAAGATACAGCTGTAGTGAAAAGAAGGGGCACATGCACCCCATTGTTCATAGCAGCAATGTCCACAACAGCCAAACTGTGGAAGGAGCTGAGATGCCCTTCAACAGATGAATGGATAAAGAAGATGTGGTCCATATATACAATGGAATATTATTCAGCCATCAGAAAGGATGAATACCCACCATTTGCATCAACATGGATGGAACTGGAGGGGATTATGCTAAGTGAAGTAAGCCAAGCAGAGAAAGACAATTATCATATGGTTTCACTCATATGTGGAACATAAGCAATAGCACGAGGGGACCATAGAGGAAGGGAGGGAAATCTGAAGAGGGAGAAATCAGAGAGGGAGATGAACCATGAGAGACTATGGACGCTGGGAAACTAACTGAGGGTCTGGGGTGGGAGAGGGGTAACAGAGTGATGGGTATTAAGGAGGGCACGTGTTGGGATGTGCACTGGGTGTTATATGTAACTAATGAATCATTGAACACTACATCAAAAACTAATGTTGTACTACACAGTGGCTAACTGAACATAATAAAATTTTTTTTAAAAAATCAAAACAAATAAAAATTAAGACATTTCCAGATGAGCACAAGCTGAGAAAACTTGTCACTAGTAGAGCAGAAATATACTACAAAAAAAAATGCTAATGGAAATTATTCAGGTTGAAGGAAAAACATAACAATAGAGAAACAGATCTACACAAAAGATGAAGAATGTGAGAATGGTAAAAAGATAGTAAATATAAAAGAATTTTTTCCTCATGTCTTTATTTCTTTAGAATTCATTTTGTGAATAGCATGAATGGAATATTAAAAAGAAGTCAGTAAATTCAGAAAAAATAATAAAGGAGGAAAAAGATAATAAAAGACCAAATTGAACAACGAGAAAATAAATAGAAGCTAGTAGACTTAAATCCAACCATACTAAAATTACAGTAATATAAATTAATAAAACACTCCAATTAAGAGAGAATTTGTCATGATGGATTTTAAAAGCAATCCAAATGCATGCTATTTGTAAGTAAATGACTTTGAAGGTACACATACAGAAATACTGAAAATCAAAGAATAAAGAAGATATACAACATAGGCTTCAAGCATAAGAAAGGTGGAGAAGCTAGAGTAGTATCAGCCAAATAGAGTTCAAGGTATAAAATATTATCAACATTAATGTTAAAAGGGTATATTCACCATTAAAACAAAGTCATCCTAATTATATAAGCACTAATAACAGAGCCTAAAAATACATTAAGCAAAAAATTCAAAAGAAATTAAAGGAGAAACAGAAAATCCAAAAATATAGTTAGAGATTTTAATATTCTGCTGTCATTAACTAATAGAATTAGTAGACACAAAAGTAGGGATATAAACATGAAAAACATTATCAATTAATTTGACGTAATTGATACAGAGGACAACACCTACTGATATAGAATACACATTCTTTTTAAGTCCCCATGAAACATTTACCGACACAGACTATAAGCTGGACCATAAAACAAATTTCAATATATTTTAAAAAGATTGAAATCATAAAGAATAATCTCTGACTTAATGGAATTAAAATAGGAATTAACAACAAAGATATACCTGAAAATTCTAAATATTTGAAAATAAAAAAACATTAAATAATCTGTGGATCAGAGAAAACATTTCCCAAGTAAATTAAAAGATGTTTCAAAATTAATAGTAATTTCAAAATCAAAAAACAAAAAAAAAATTGTGAAATGCACATAAAATAATAGAACTTGGGAAAATATAGAAAATACATTACAAAAAGAA